CGGGGGCCCCGAGGGGGCCCCCCCGCGCGGCGGGGCCGGGCGGCCCCCGAAAGCCGAAGGCGGTGGCGGGCCGGAAGCAGCCCTTCTGCCTGCTGCTGCGGGAGGCCGAGGCAGGATCTTCCTTCAGCGACTCCTCGGAGGACTCGTTCGATCAAGGTTACTAGCTTATAGCAAACGTAACCCCAAACGCACCCCTCTGCCATGTCTGTGTGGGAGTGGGTGGGGCGGGAGGCAAGGGTGAGCAAGGGGCCTGGCGGGCCGAGGTCAGCCATTTTGATGGTCGGAGCCAGGGCGGCCATCTTTGTTCTTGGCAGCGTAGCCTGCTTTATCAGCCCGACATTTATTTTTTATCCTTTTTGTACCTGTATCATTGTGATATTATTACTGGCTGGCTCTTTTAGAGCTTTTATATCAACTGGGTTTTAGTGTCCACCTCTCCCTGCTTTCCTGTTCCCTTCCTTCCTTCAGTTTTTCCCTCACTTTCTTCCTTGCTGCCACCACCACCATTATATTATTATTATTATTATTACTATTATTATTATTTTATTTCTTATTTTATTTTGGCATGAGCCTTGTAGAGGTTTGGAAGGAGCTTTTTTTTTAATTACTTCCCCTTTTTTTTTCCTTTTTTCTTTTCTTTTTTCCTTTTTTTTTTTTTTTAATACCGGGAAACTGTTGTGTGGCCGTGTGACTTGATGTTTGTACTGCGATTTGGTATACCAAGCTTTATTAAACATACCGAGTTCATTTTTAACTAAACCTGTGTACCTTGTCTCTCTTGCTGTGTCTCTTATCAGGCGATTAGGTTGCCGCTTCACTTCATCCTGCTCTGCATCCCCCTCCTGCTCCCACTCCCCATGAGTAGAACTGGAATTAACCTAGTCTGGGGTACTCTCTATTATTCAAATATCCCTGCTGCCTTTGTCCAGATTAAGCCTAGTCTTTTCCCTCCCCCAACCCCTTTAATTTATTTGTTCGCCCAGTTTTGTTTTATTTCTTTTTCAGTTTGTTTCCTCTGTTGATAGACTCTCTCAAGGCAGGCAGATAAAACGTGGAGGCACTTGGTCCTTGTTGCTGCTGCAGGAGGGTGCTGGGTGTAAGGTCCCCATTATTTAACAGCCAGAAATTTTTCACTTTTTAAAATGTATACGGCAAGTTTTTGCACCTCTTTTTGGGTGATATTTTTTTTCAGATGCCCAGATGTAACCCACGGTTTCAAGGATGTGGCAATTACCGCATTAAATTTGATTCTGCAGTTTCCTTCCCTCACCCTCACCCCAGTTTTTTTCTTGCAGCTTTTTTTTGTTAGCCTGTCATTAGTACTTCAGTGGGAAAAGAGATTACTTGAGACTTTTCCTCCAGAGACACAAGGGGTTTCTGTTTTAGAGCACACTCATTAAATAATAATCATGGGGAAAGGTCATTTTAATGAGCCCTCAGCTCCCAAAAGAAGTAGCTCATCTGGGCTGAATGCTAAGCAAGAGCATCCCCAGTTGTTATCATCTAAGTTACACAGCAGATCTGGATGTAGCACAGCAAAAGCCTTTTAGTATTTCACACTGCTCAGACGGCTGTTAATTGAAAATGGGGCTGGATAGTTTTGCTTTTGTTTTGTTTTTTCTTTTAGTTTTTTTATGTTAATTTCCTCCATGTACCTGTTTTTGTTTGTTTTTTCTTCCCTCCAAACCCAACCTCCAAAGAAAGATAATTTAAGCTAAAAAAAAATTATCAAACACAGAAAGATACAGAATGCTGATTTGGTTTGATGTGGCTCTGGGCTGGACCCACCAATGCATTTCAAGAAAACCCAAAAGAGAGAAATATATGTTTAAAAAAAAAAAAATTATTCTTTCGAGAACCCAAAAAGTTCTGGGGGTAGTGGATTTTATGTAAGGGTGAGATTGCCACATTTCCATGAAGAGTCTGCGTTAACTTCCATTCTTCCCTTCCCTGTTCCTTCCTGCATCTTTTCTTTGTTTATTTTGCTGCTGTTGGAAATTTTGAGGATATCAGTCCCTTTTAGGTGCCAAGTTCTTGAGGGTTTTTTGGGTTTGCTTTTTGGTTTTGCTCCAGGTAAGCAGATAGGTAACTTGTCCCTAATTGGCTTTGTCTATTTTGCAAGTAACCTGTCTGCTTTAAAAAAAAAAAATAAAAAATCCCAGTTTTATGGGATAAAGTCTGGGGAGGGGCTATGGGAGGAGGATGGGGAATCTGGAACAAATGGGGAAATGCATTGTAAATCCCTCTGGGGTGTCATTTAATGGTGGGGAAACCAAAGATGCAAAACCTCCTGGGGTGGGAAGTGGGCATGGAGGGGGAGGCGGGGGGAGATTATTGGTTACAGTTTTGTTTTTTTCTGCAAATGATTTTTTTTTGGTTGTTCTTTCTCAGAAACATTACTTGAAGGGATATTTGGGTAATAGGGTTTCTAATGGCTTTCCCTGATACTAAACCGATTAATAACCTCAGCTTTTCTAGAAGTGCTCGCTTTCTCCTTGCAGCTGCTTGACCAACCCTTTCACCCCTGCCCCTATCCATGATGCTTTGAATGTCTGTGTCGGTCTCTTGCATTTGCTCTCACGCTGCACTAAAGAAGCAAAGTGGTTGGCTGGTTGTAGGGCAGACACTTCTCAGCGAGGGTCACTAGCCATGAACCCGAACCTTGACCATTGTTATGTAGGTAGGCAAAATAACTTTTCTTTATGTCATCTGTCAGCCTCAGATGTTTCGATGTTACCTCCATGAATAATGACACGTAGCTCTTTGCATTTTCTTGGTTATTTTAATTCTGAAGATGATTTGCTGTCCACTTTTGACTTTCCTCTGTCCATGAAGAGTCTTGCATGGAAGGTTTGCTTGTGTGTATGTGTTTGAGGACTCCAGAAATGCTTTACTGTTTGCAGACCTGCTTTTGGAGAACCCCTTAACCTAGCAAAGGGAAGGATTTGCATATGGGTCCGAGATGGGAAGGCACAGCGCTGCCTGCAAAGGCTCTGCCACTGTCCTTAAAGGTTTCTGGGCCATGATGCAGACTGTCCTAGTATCAGGGTAATTGGCTGGCCATGGCCCTGCCAATATCTATGTCAGAGGTAGGAGCAGCTGCAGCAAGACCTGTTTTCATCTGATTTTAGATAGAAGAGGTAGGGACATGCTGCTTTCTTGCAGACCAAACACCACATTGCCATTCTGATAACGGGTAAAGCTTGTGGCTTTTCATCCAGTGACCTTGTAGAGGAAACTGCTAATGTGGGCCAAAGACACATGGGACCTTTGAAAACCATCAGATAGGTAATACCATGAGCTTTCTGAGGCTGAAGACCAATACTAACTTCTCCTCAGTACTCTGTTTTCCTTGAAACATTACTAAGAAATTAGTACTAAGAAATTAGTACCTTCTTCCCTGCTTTCCTTTCCCTGACTTGGAGAATGATTTTATCCCAATGAAAAAAAAAACAGTGAGGGATAACCCGTTCCCTAAGTACTTCTGGAGTCAGCAGCACAGCACATATGGGGGGAAAAATAATCTTCCAATGATGAGAATTGGCTTGTTTGGAAAAAAAAAAAGGTACAGTCTTAAATTGGACATTCAAAAATAAGTAACCTCCAGAATTTGGACAGATCACACAAATCAGATGTCAATGACCCAGTAGCTGTCTAAAGTCTGCCTGTACTTAGCCTGCTTTGTATGCTGTAGGACTGCTTGGTGTTATGAGAAAATCATGCTATTTTTTTTACAATGTGAAATGACTCTTTTTAAGTGTGTGTTTTTACTCCCCCCTTCCCAAGCCTTTCCTCTCCACATCCCCCTCAACCCGTCTTGTTACATCAGTCTTTAAAAACCAAATTGCTTAACCAATTTCTGTTCATCATTAACAAATCTTCATTTACTGCTCTCCTACAGTAAAATACCATGGCAGCTTAGCTGTTAAAAGCAATGAGAAAGTTTAGTATTTTTAATTGGGTTTGCTTTTTAATTTAATGCAGGTAAAAATTTTAGAAAAAAAAATCTTCTTTGGGTACAGTTTATCTGGCATCAGTAGCATTTAAATATGAATTTATTGATTGTTTTGGCTGTAGAGTTGTATGTACACGTGTGGTTGTGTGTGTGGGTATATACACACATATACATGCTCTTAAAAATGTCAATTAGAAAAGATATTTTTAACTTTGACTATTTTTTCCCTTACCATTGCTCAGTGTTAACAGAATTACTGCTGAAGGAAAAAATGATTTTATAAAATGTCTTTTTCTCCATTGTTAACTAAAATCACCTTTTTAGGAGAAAAAATTGAGGCTTCAATTGTGTTAAGGCATCTGTGCATACTTCATTTTAAGCCCACACATAATTTGGGTACAGTAGGAGTAAAAGTCCTGCTTCACATTAAATACAGGCATCATGAGTCTCTTCAAGAAGCCGTGCAGATGGCCATAGAGCACCAGCAGCTTATTTGCCACCATGGCCATAAATTTGGGGACTTAGTTTAGAAGAATGTGGGTTTGGAGCAGAGCCCTAAATGTGTTCTTTTTGTTTCATTTGTTAGTTTTTGTCCCTTGGAAAATCAGGAGCAGGGATTGTGCTGTGCATGTAGAGTGGAGTTACCAAGATCTGCCCTCGCCATGAGAGGTGGAGGAGGATAGATCTGTGCTGTGAATGTGTTAAAATGTGTTTATTTTCAGGCTGAAAATCGAATCTCATGCAGATAAAAATATAAGTGTTTTGGTAAAAATGCTGACAAGAGACTATCTTCAGTTGTCTTTCCATAGTGTGACACCATGTATTTGAAAGAGGTTAGAATAACTGCCAGGTACGTTACTGTATCGTACATTTTCTGTAGCGTGAGTAATAGCTGCTTTCATTCTGGCTTTTAAAGCTGTTTTACCTTGGTGCATTTGAAATACCGTAGCTGCTGGGCACCCTCGTGCCCTTGCACGTGCAGAGTCTTGAAGTGCTGAAGGAGTGGTGCTGCCCGTGCTCGGCACAGCCCCTGGGCAGTCGGTGCGGCTGAGCCAAGGGTGCTGCGGAGGATTCATGCAGGACAGGTCATGGAGGGATTTTCCTGCAAACTTTCCCCTTTCTTGGCCTGTTTTCCTCCCCAGCTGCTCAGCGAGCCGCTTTCTGCTCGGCCGTCTCCCTAGGTCTGGCATGAGGGGCTGTACAGGTTGATGTTTTCCAATTTTTTTCTGGTTTTGCTGAGAATTACTGTATTTTGGAGCCAAATAGGATGCGTGGAGGGGGTCTCAGTACCCCATGATGTGTCATTGAACTTGAGCATGGTTTTGCTGCTTTTCAGGCAGGTGGTTTCTGCGTCTCAGAATAGCCGAGTTCATCTGGATTTGTTTTCTTTTTGGAAAAACATTGTAGAAAAACAGCATTTGTGCCCCTTTTCTCATAAGGGAAGGAATCTGATCCTAATTTGCTGTGGATTTTTTTTTTGCATGTGGTTTTTATGCAAGGAGTGAGCAGGGCTGTGGATTTCTTGGTATTTACTGCAAGACTGTAGATTTCGTAGCATTTTTATATCACAAGGAACTGGCCTGAGCAACTGAAATGGGGAAGGGATTTTTATGCGGTTAAAAATTAGTATTCTGTGACTATCTGATGTATGCTATGGAGAAAAGCTCTCCTTGTTAAAAAAATAAAAAAAATTAAAAAACCAATAGCTGGCCATTACTTCATTTGATAAAATACAAGGATAAGAACACTGTTTTCTGATATTCCTGTTATTTCTAATGTCATGGAAAAAATATCCAAAGTGGAAGAATAACACTTGTGTTATTGTATTTTTTTTCTTTTTTTTTGAACAACCAAGTGTTGAGGACGTTTTTATCTATCCCAGAGGGCATATGTGAAAAGAAAAGGATTTTCGTGTTCATTCCAGCTCATTTTGAAGGGATCTGGTTTCTCATTTGGCTGGCTTTCAGACGCAGGGATAGCGGCTGGCAGGGAGCTGGCGAGTGGGCTCAGGCGGGGAGAACAGGGCTCCGGCTAGTGGTGGAAATTTTCCAGCAACCTTGATGATCCTACTTAAGCCCTCAATTCCAAAAGAAATGAAATATCTTTTCCAGACCCATTTTTTGCAGTTAGATATATATATTTCTGTGTGCTCATATATGTGTGTGTATATGTATGTGTGTGATATCTGTGCATTTGTGTAGCGACTCTCGCTTACCAGCACTAACTGGATGGGATGCCGTTAAAATTAATTGCTTTGAGCTGATGACAGTCCTTTGGGAAGTGCTGTAGGAAGGGAGAGGTGCCACCCTCAGAGCACCTACCCCCAAAATACCTGCTGTATATACACACCATAAAGGAAAACCCCAGCCTACTGCTCTCTGCGGGTGTTAGCCGAGGCAGGCAGCAAGGCTGATTTCTTTGCCAGAATTAGATTTTGGGCTGTGGGCAGCTCTTCCTGCCTGTGCAGAGCTGGGCTTCCCTAGCCTGAGCTGTAGAGAGGGAAATGAAAGGCACGGAGAGTTTTGAGGCAGAGCGTTTAAACACTCCTCCTTGTCTCCAACACTACCTACACTTCCCCCCCCCCCCCCCTTTGCTTTCTCCACCCACCTTTTTTTAATTTTTTTTTTCTCCCCCCCCC